GGCGTCGAAACTTTGCACAGGTAAACCCTCCAAATGTTTGAAGCGCGCAGACAGCTCGTCGAAATTTAATGACTGTTCGGGTAGGCCAAGATTCTCCACGGTGTACGCTTCGCCGAGCTGGTATCGTTTGCTGTTTCCCACTACCGATACGTCAAGCTGCACTCTACACGTGTCTGTTATTTGTTTTTTAACGCCACCTGTCCACTGAATACACATAGAATCTACTGGGCCATGACCACTGAAGAACCATCCGGAACAACGTAGACGAACTAAACTGCCGATGGACGGTGACGGTCGCATTTACTGGTGTTTCCGTTGTGTTGTTTGTACTGGTGAGTTGTTGGAATGCAGCAGTCGATGATGTTTCTTTTGACAACCGTTGATCCCACAAACTTCTCCTTTGCATGGCCATCGTGCATGCGGCGTAAGGCAGCGACGGCAAAGTTTGCTTTCCTTCGCCACCTTCCACCGATCATCGAGGGAAAATCTCCGGAAAGTCGAACAACCTATTGCTTGATGATCTGTAGATCCACATGCTGGACACGACTTACTCTTCATAATCTGCTGATCCACCGGTTTACCGTGTTTGCTTGACACCTTTCGTTCATTGGACGCACCATCGCAGAACTCTTCTTGATCTTCTTATTCTACTTCATTTGACATGGTATGTGCATTGATGTAGGCATTCTGAATTCTTCTAGATCGACAGCAGTAGCTTGTTGTTGGTGTAACGCCCAGTCAAGTTTAACGTTAGCTGGGAGCTTGGGGCAACCAATTCCTGCAAAAGCATCGGGTTTGATAAATGTTGATCCAACCCGATCGTGTCCACACAAGTTTTGCACAGCAAGACCAAATCCCACAAGAGTTTCCAGCCGGAATTGGCCGGACCTTGGCAACCATTTGATGTACAATATGTTCGGCCCTCCCAAACAACGTTTGAAGCGTAGACATCACATGTGGTACCGTTGCTGGATGAAGTAGAAAGCTGCTTACTGATTCTTTCGCACCACCCTTGAGACTACGTGCAAACGTAGCAAATTCTCCGAATCTGAATATCCACACACCTGAGTTGAATGTTCATACCTGCTGTAGAAGAGCGGACACTTCTTGTCTGGCAACCAGCTGCTGGGGCGTAGGACAAGATTCCACTTGCTGGAAGCTGTTGCTTGGTATAGAGATGTTCACCACTATCGGATTTTTAACGGACCGACAACCTCGTAGATTAGACGCAACATGGAGAGACAACGAAAGCAGACTTTCCGTTACATGGTGCTGACTGCGGGTTTTGAACACTTACCGGTGGCACGATGGTACGAAGGGGAACGTTACCTGGTCCTACTACTGACCGCTTGTTGGTTAACAATGACTGGTCGTTGGTAACTGCTGCTGCTGCCGCAAATCCAGGTGTTGGTTGATGACGATACCCAATCTGCCCACTAGTGTTTTTCTCCTGGTGACGGAACGATTCCTGCTTCAGAAATTGCTGTTTGAATTCCCGTAGCCGCTGCAATTCATTCTGCCCGTCCGCTACTTCTTGCTGCCTCCGTTCCTCGAGGAGTGCTTGATCGCGCTCCTGTTGTTGCAAATGTAATTTCAAGTTGGCTTCCCTCGCATGGTGGATTTCCAGTTCTTCTTGCTTCTGAATTTCCAGCCGCTTCAGCAGGTTCGCCAGTTCCAATTCCCGCTTTCGACGAAGGTCTTTTTCCTTCTCAAAGATTTATTGACAAGATCCCAGACAACAACAGCAATTGGGCTTCGATGTGGTTGAAAGTCGCTGCTAGAGAATTACCTTTCCATATATTCTGCCAGCACGACTACTACAAGGTAGGATCTCGTGGATTTCTCGCTACAGGATGATCTGGGCATGGTCACGGTGATGTCCAGTTTGCCTGGAAAGCAATTGCATTGGACATTGACGAGGCTATGCTGAATTATGGGATAGCCAGAGAACGGGGGCGGTTGCCCTTATGGTAATGAGCGATAAGTTGTATTGTGTGAATGCTAGGGATTCGCGGCCGATCGCGTGCATGAACGGGAAGCTTGATGTACCTTCGATCGATCACAATCCGAAAAATACCAGTGAGTTGGAGGGGATAAAACGTGCCGGGAGTCAGTGTCTTAAACATCTCAATAATTATCCACGTGGAATGTGGACAGCCACTAGAGCAAATGGGTATTCTTGGTATATACGAATGTGGAAGAACGAGTGGTTAGCGAGGATTTTGAGTTTATGTGACGGAATTTGGGAAGTGCTTCCGAGCCAATCGGTAATGGAGTTTTTTTCTCTGACGGAGATTGAAGAAGTATGCATAATAGTAGACAAAGAAAAGGAAGTTTATCGCACCGTACTCTTCCTCCAGCTTTCTCCAGATAAAAAAATCTTAAACCGATGGAGACACAGAAACATGTGATATTATTTGAAGGAAACTATTTTTTTGTCAGTTACTTACCACATCTTTATCAGAATGATTCTTTTTAAATCCTTGCAAACAAAAATTTTTAACGATCGGAATTCGATCCACGTTTGTTTACATACACGCAACTTCAATAACCGTTTTCAATGGTAATCCAGGCAGTGCTTCCAGTTTATTTTAATTATGTTCTGATACATGCGAAAATGTGCCGGTAATGTGCCGATAAATGTGCCCTAACTGTTCCGAATCTATTTTCGGCACATTGTGCTAAGTAACTTATCCCTTGGATCTTACTCACTGAGCAATGTGAGTTACTTGAGGTGCATCAAAAGCAGCTCAGAAATTGCTCATGATTAGGAGCTGTCCGGTCCATAGACTGGCCCTTTGAAGATTATATGGGAATTACCATACAACTTTTTCCATAACATTGTACTTACTAATGTACTTACATTTTTGCTGAAGATCACTTTTTGATTGGTAGTTAGTTATTAATTGATTTCGATGCTGATAAGATTCTAATATGATTAATCCATTACTTTCGAGGCAACACTGCATCTTTGTTGGACATTTTTATAGAAGGTTATGCAGATAATTTCTGGACTGTTAGGTACATACCTAGAAATTTTCAAGTGAATTTCAATCTTATGAAAAAGGTAATGCTCGTAAGTAAATTCTTGAGGACATTCCACAGAAATCGTGTTAGAAGTGTCGGAAATCTCGATGAGTCTTATTATCATCCACCATAACCGGTCGAACTCCAGACGAATCTAGAACCGAACTACCATTCATACTGGCGACAACGCTCTGATGAGACAACAAAAACCCACCCCTAAGCTCCTCTCCTGATTCTATCCTTTCTCCTGATGTACCCTTCTAACCTCGAGTAAGCCGGCCCAATTTGCTACTAGACATAGAACTAAGTGAATTTTGTTGCAAACAAAGAACAATGAATTATCGGCTCCGTAAAGCTAACGCGATTGAGCCTTCCAAATAAACGAACTGGATAAAACGAAATTCACGTAAAAACTCCACGGAAATTCCAGCTCTGCTCTGGAGCTCCCAGCACTTTAAATGTGTTCCCAGAATTTCAACGGAGTTACCAGAACTTAAACGGAGTTTCCAGAACTTCAGCGCAGTTACCAGAATTTCAACGGAGTTATCAGTAGTTCAACAGAGTTACCAGAACTTCAACGGAGATACCAGAACTCACGGAACATGAACGGAATCCCCACTACTTCTCTAGAGCTCCAGATCACAAAAATCCTAAGTTCCAAGAATATCTCCGAGGCTCTCAGAACCTCATCTTTTCTACAGAAGTTCTGCAAATATAATCGAAACTCCGAAGAAGTTTTCAAATTAGTTACCGGAATGTTCTGGAAACTCAAGAGAAGTTCTGAGATGGGAACTCCGGAGAAGATCTAGGAATCATATGAAGCTCTTAGAACTCCTCTGAAAATCCAGGAACTAGGGTAAATGATAGATACCTCTTGGATAAATGGCCCATTGTGTGCGACCACATTCTAAATAGAACAGACTTTAATAGACCCTGTGAAGCGCGAAAAGGGCAACAAGTACGAGTTAATGCCGAAATCGATATTCCCCAAAGCACCGGAACTGTCTGTGCATAATAACAATCCCACCGTATGCGGGGGCGTCTACGTACTAAAGAAATAAAGAAAAATCGCTCACATGTAAATACACAAGCTCAGACAGCGCTCAATCTTTCCGAGAAAGAAATATTCATGCACGACAGTCCTTTGTCAGAACTTGCCATTCTTCCCATCATAGTAGTCAATCATTGCCGGTCCCTAGTAGGTGGATCTTGGAATATTCGCCTACTGCTTGGATTATGCTCTTCCGTTCGGTCTTCTCCTCCTTAACGAGGCTCTCCGACGAAGCTTTCGCACCTTATTTGCTTTCCTTCCCTTCTACACGGAAGTGAACAAATCTAATTTATCAAGCAAACAACAACGACCATCGGCACACTATCGGACGACTGAGCTAGAGTGACAATGGGGCCAGTATTATCCTATATACAACCCAGTCATCAGTCAGTGGAGCCAGATGGAAGAATGATGATAGGATTGTGAATGAATTACACATTATTGTAGTTGTTTCCACTTCGTAATTGGAGAAATTTCTGAGAATGTTTTCCATTTCTTCATCATCTGCTCCCACCGAGAACCATTCCGTACGACGATGGTCAAGTGCAGTGCAGCAGCAGCAGCAGCAGCAGGCAGAAAGAAAGGACCTCCTGCCTGCCAAATAGTGTTTACATACCTACGCATCCACTCTTAGCCAGCTCAGCACGATGTTTACATCCATTGAATTCACTCTAAACAAACACAACGGGTTTGCGGACGGCGCGCGGGTGGAAGGTTAGGGTAAACATTTGCCTTTTACACCATCGCACCCGGAGGGCTTGACGTGGAACAAACCACAGATCGCAGAAGGCCTATAGATTGACTTTTCGACTCGGTCCGCTACCTATACCACCCTTGGACTTGGCCTACTACGGGGAGTGTCAACCGCAACTAGGAACATGTTACTTAACCCAAATAATTGCCCTTCGGCCCGTGGACTCACCTCTGTGATATCGTTGCGGGCGGCGGCCTCCAACAGGACCACGCTGTCCTCGAAGGTGATGTGCCGCTTGTAGGTGGACATGTGCTGCTGGTTCGCCATCCGTTCTTTGCTCCGTTGGGCTTTGAGCCATTCCTTGTCCCGCTGTTTGGCCAACTTTAGTTGCTGCGCGCGGCGCCTAGGAATTAAAAAGAAAAACGAAAATAATCAGACATTGCATAGTTTCGGGCGCGGGGAAAGCGTGACAGGTATCGCATTCGTGTCACGACGAGGCGACCGCGTAGTGCGGTGGTGTCATTTCATTTCAGTGTCACAGCGGTGCTGGGCGGTTGCTCTTTTGCTCTTGCTGCTCTCATTTTGCACTACACTGCATCTTCTTCTTGCACAGTTGGCGGCGCGTAATTTCCATTGCGATGCCGGTGGTGGTGGTGGTGATGGTGGTGGTCGTTGTCGTGCGGTTGTCTCTTCTGACCCCTCGAGAGAGCAGGACACTTTAGAGCGTAAACACCATTTGGAAGGAAGCCAAAAAGGACACACAGCTAGGCGTGATATCCTGCAGAGGGCGAAATTATGCAAAGCAGGAGGGCATTCGGAAAAGTTTCCTGACAAGACCCCACCCCCCTTCCCATTTCGATGCAACAATTTTAGCAATTACAAAAAACTTGCGAAACGTCGGAGGTTGGAACAAAGGAACCGAGCAAAACAAAACCCGAACCGTGCGCCATCCATTATGCAATTTGGCCGATGCGTTCGATTGTTCGATGTGATAGCAGTGATGACGGCACATACGTAATTAATGGATGCCAAACTGAGTTATATGGGCAAACTGCAACAGTGCCCACTGAGTTGTAATAAACATCTATTACACTGTAACAAAATTACAGAGGCTACCAAAGGAAACATAAATGCTAAATGAGGTGCTTTAACGGAGAGATCTAAATTTGAGGTTATGCGATGCTCTAGATTTTTTGTACGTCCAGCCGCGCAGTGTATGATTGGCATAAAAAAGAACTTTACAAACGAAATCATCTTTCTGCTGATTCTACTTCATTTACGGTAACTCCTCATTCCGCGGTGTTATTCTCAGCTCGATTCAATACAATTTGTAACAAAACAGCCAAGCATCCCAGGCATAAAAAAATTCACGAAAATGTTTATCTAATTACGGTTGTTTCGGCAATATAAGAGCAACTGCACTGGTGCGTTGGTATTTAAGTTGCTATTTTGATAACAGTGATTAGGTTTCGCCATGAACGTCAGAATTGAAGTCACCAACGAGAGATGTTGGTGGAAATGCAACTTGAAATGCGTTTTGCCTGCGCAAATCCACGCCAAATAGTGGAAAAATAAAGGAATTTCAAAACTTAGTTCAGAATTCCATTTTTAAAAAAAGATATAAATAAAAAATACTAAAAAGTTGATTTTCTACGATTTAGGTCAATTTTAAAGTATCTATTGTGTCAAATATCAGAAAAGTTAGCATTCTTAGCAAGCTTTTAAATAAATATAAGTTTAAAAATGTTATATTTTTTTAAGGTTGAAGTTTTCCAAGTTTTTTTTTTTAATTTTTGGACAAAAATTTTATGATTTTTTCAGTGTTTATTTTTTTCTGTAAAAGCAATACAGTTCCCTACAACTTTGTCTCAGACATCATTTCGATTAGACGAGCCATTTTTGAGCTATGATTTATTCAACAATATCGAACACGCCATTTTGAAAAATAAGGCGAGTCTCAAAATGGTCAAATTCCAGCGTAAACTTGGTTTGCTACCCCTAGAAGACAATTATGCAAAGTTTCATGGAATTCGTAGAGGGTAAAACACAATCAACTCGTCAGTTGGCGTGAATTGGCTCACCTGTCATTTGACGGATGAGCAGTTCCACGCCAAATGAGGAATCGATCTGACGCGACCTTCTCCGGTTTGCAAAAATTGATTGTTATGGTCAATCATTCAAATATGAGCTTAAATTCGACCATTTTGAATTCCGTAAAGCAACTATTTTTCAACAAATCATAACTCGAAAACGTCACTTCCAATCAAAGTGACGTCTGCGATAAAGTTGTAGGAAAAAATATTTCTTTTCTGGAAAAATATGCACGGTAAATTTGTTTTGGATAATTGAGTAAATTGAAATGACGATTTCGTTTTATGATTTGACGAAAAACCTATACCCGTTTTGCAATCAGGAAAACCGAACGCTGCCTTTAAGATTTTGTCCAGTTGCAAAAAAGTACATTTAGCTAATTTTTAACAAATTTGGTATATTCTTTGTTCAACTTATTAAAAGATTATAAAACTTTAAGAGTGAGAGAAATAACTGTTTTTGTTTGGTTTGAAAGGGTTGAGTTGTCGTGTGCTTGGAGATGGGACGAAGACGAATACAATATAAAAAAGCCCCGTGAATCAAAAATAACAATTAATCATATCGTCCGACCAATTTCCACAGAGATGGCGCTGTTCCGCTGGTAGGAAGTGATAAAAATAATAAAAATCCCATATATAAATTGAGAGAAGTGGGAATAATTCGTATTCGGTACATATTCAGATCAAAAACAATTAAACGGCAATCTAAATAAATTAGTCAGGGACTCTGTCGTTCAGTTTTTTACCGGAAATTAATTTTAAACAAGCTACAACTAAATAAAAATGATTTTTCCCCATACAATTTTACCTGCTTTACTACCAGTCCCCAGAGAGCCAACAAAATTCAAATTTGAGAGAGAAAAGTCTCTCTCACGAGCCCAATCTCTCAACATGCCATGTATTTTGATGATACTCGATTTGTGATTTCCCCTTCACTGATTACAAAATAGAGTACCTGTCACTACAAAACATGTCTGGTACCTCTATATATGCATTTAGATTAACATTCGAAGTCTCTCCTTTTTTATATATTCTGCACAAAAGATACTTTATGCCCCGCCCCATTCATAGAAATCGGCGGGAAGTCCTACGAGGGGTGAGCTATTTTGTGTAAAAATTGAGGGACTTCGAATTCGAAAAAAATGCATACATAGAGGTATGGACATGTTTTGCACTGCACTGTCCTCTGGGAACAATCAACGGAAACCAGATTGTGTGTATTTTCCGATAGATGTCACCGCAAACAACAGTAGTGACATCTGAAGAAACATGAATGCAGAAGCTTGACAAAATGATTGACAAGCTATTGACTTCGCAAATTCAGCAAAGTTGGCGTATGTGTCAAGGGCCATCCAGGGTTGCCAGCGATGGTTCTAAATTTTGATATGGCAACACTGATCAAGTAAATCCAAATAAAGCATGCACTATATCGGTTTCGTTTCAAGATAGCGTCTTCGAATGTTCAGCAAAGTTGGCGTATGAGTCAAGGGCCATCCAGGGTTGTCGTGAATGAATTGAAATTCAGTTAGTAGATGGCAACACTGCTCGATCAGAATCAAATAAAACTCAATATAAACATTTCAAGGTAGCGACTTCAAATGTTTACCAAAGTTAGGATATGAGTCAAGAGCCATGCAGGCTTTCCACTAATGGCTCGAAATTTTGCTATGATTTGGCAACACTGTCCAAGTAGAATCAAATAGCGATCAAATCTCGGTTTCGTTTCGGTTTCGTGTTCAGCAAGATTTGAGTTTTTTTTATCGATTTCGTTCATTTTGAAGGCTCAATCGCGTTAGCTTTACGGAGCCGATAATTCATTGCTCAATGTTTGTAACAAAATTCACTTAGTTCTATGTCTAGTAGAAGTTGGGCCGAATACTCGCTGCTTACTCGAGGTTGGAAGGGTACATTGTCGAACGATAGGATCAGGTTGGAGCTTAGGGGTGGGTTTTCGTTGTCTCATCAGAGCGTTGTCGCCAGTATGAATGGTAGTGCGGTTCTAGATTCGTCTGGAGTTCGACCGGATATGGTGACCAGTGGGTGACGATGAGACTCATCGAGACGGGGGGACAAGACAAACAAAAACTAATTAAGAGAGACAAAAGACAAATGAATTAAATTCTGATACTAGACATTTGAAGAAACACATAAACCGACTGCAAATAGCAGATATCGCTAGTTCCCAACACGTCTCTGAGGGTATTCAAAAGTCGCTCTCTGGCGGTATCATTATCCGTACATTGCCAAACTGCGTGATCGATGTCATCGTAACCGTTTCCACACCGACAGATGTTTCTGTCCACGAGGTGTGTTCTATTGAGATGCGAATCTAGCGAGAAGTGGTTGGACATAAGCCTACTCATCACGCGAATGAAGTCACGACTTAAGCCCAAGCCTTTAAATAACGTCACCGTCCAACATTTCCCGTGTCCCAATCGATTTGCCAACTCGAAAGGGTACTCTGACGCACTAAATGGTATAATTCATCGTGTCAAATTTGCCTGTCATTGCCTAGGATTGAGCAATGTGAGGGGACCCATGCAAAGGTAATCATATGTGATCTTTCGACCAGCATCCTCATCTGCTCCTTTACCTTTGAAAGGAAAAAAATATGAGTGCTTGTCATCCAGAGTTGCAACACTACTCCACTAGAAGCAACTAGAGCTCAATATCTCGGTTTCGTTTCAAGATAGAAACTTCAAATGTTAGTTGGCGTATGACGTCAAGATCCATCTAGGGTTCCCGCGAATCACTCAAAATTCACCCGGTGGCAGTGAGTAACTATGTAAGTAAGATGGCAGCACTGCTCAACTAAAATCAAATAGAGCTCAAAATCTTGATATCATTGGGGGCAGATAGGGCATTGAAAGTCTGGCAATGTTGGAGTATCAATCGAAGGCCATCCAAACGATTTGCGACAAGCGTGCTACTAGGATCAGAATAATTCATTATCAACATAAATCCATGATTATTAATGATAATTAATATCTTTTCGAACATTATTAATTTCTTTTCAACTTGCGTTATCAGATTGGTTTGATTTAATCTCAGCCTTGTTATCTTTATTTTTTCAATAAAACTATATAACTGTATTTACAGAGCTGAATCTAAATGAATCCACAGTCGTACTTGCACTTTGCTGAACATTAGATGTCCTATCATGAGGCGATGCTGAGATATTGTGCATTTTAGTTTAGTTCCAAACCTGGACTGTTATCTCTGGCATAATTCCAAAAAACAAAATTAACCATGCCAATCTTGAAACAACCCTCAGAATTGAAGCTACACTTGATTCTACCCAAGCAGTGTTGCC